ATAATGATCGATACCGGAAGCTCTGCAGATGTACTCTTTTAGGGCGCATTCAAAAGAATGAGATTCATCAAAACCCTCCTCAAACAAGAGAGAACCCCACTAATCGGATTTTCAGAAGAGACCACTTACTCACTCGGATCCATCAAACTCGCCGTAACCGCCGGATTCATAAAAAAGATCGTCGAATTCATCATCATAGATCAACCTGCTCCGTTTAACGCTAGCCTCGGGAGACCATGGCTATACAGCATGAAGGCAGTACCACCAATGCCTGAAATTCCCTACGCCAAAAGGAATTGAAACCATAAGGGGCAGCCAGAGGAACTCCAGAACCTGCTACTTCGCGGGCTTCAAAGTCATCGAGCCGCATCCATAAGACCGACCAAGAGGTCTCAAGAAAACCAAGAACCGTACCCACATATACGAGCAAATAAAAAAACACGACCCTGATTATCAGGGAAACAACCGAACTACGTTTAGACTTGATCCCTCGACGAGGGTACGTAGGCAACTCACGACCCGAGCTCAGTCACTCATCACAAACCAATTTTCCCATGAAGGGATCAAGCCCGAGCTAAGAGCAACCTATTCATATCGATACAGTTCTCTTCTTTCATGCAAAATGCCAAGTTGTATACATACAATCATTTGATAACAAATAAGGATAAATTCTCACTTCCATAACTAGATTTAACTGCATAAAGAGACCATGATCAAGTCTTTAGAAACATTTAGAATTTGCCAAAAACACGGCACCTTACGACAGTAAAATTATACTACCTAAACCCAACTCATCGATGCGATATTTATTGAAATCGATCGACGACCCCAAAACAGAAAATGTCACAATCTCGCCTTAACTAATACCGCATAAACAAACCATTATTATTCATGATTCGTTATTTAATTTGCTAAAAAAGAAACACCAAAAGACAACAAAAGAAAAAAAAAGAATAAGAAAAGTAATCGTCGACATCAAACTCGCCATCTTCGTAACGATTCTCGTTACGCCCTTGCTCGCCACCAGATTCGTCTCCGTTAGGAGGGACCTTGGAAAATAAATCCTCAGGCAATTCCTCAGAAATCATAGGAAGATCCAACTTCCCAACCGAGAAATCCGATACCGTCGCCGCATCGAGTTCGGCCCCTAGTTTGACCTCTTTAGCTTGAAGATGCGTCAGCTCGTCGGAAGCAAGCAGATTGTTATTCATTATCTCCTAATGAGCTTGAGATTAGCCGTAACCTCCTTCAAATGAATCTCGCAATCCGCTGCAGCTATCTTCTCTCCCATTTCTCCTTCAAAGATATTAATACGTCCAGATAACCCCCAGCTAGAGTCTTCTTGGCGTCGTAAGTCGCATGATAGGGCTCGTCTATGTGATTAATTGTTAAGGATTCAATCTGCATTTCCAACGCGGAAACCTGCTCTAAAACCAATTTCATTTCATTTCCGACGACCCAAAAATGAGCCTCGAGAGAAGCAGCCTGGTTTCCCAACTTCTCGGCCGCCATTGAACAACATTGGCATGCTCCCTGTCTTGGGCCATCTTCAAACTGAGTTTCAGCCCCCAAATGACCTTCTTGACTTCGTATAGCTCATCAGCTCGAGGAATATCCCGCAAACGCTTCTTCAAGGTCGCTGCGAACTCGTTATTAGCCTCCATAGGATGAAGGCATAGCAAACCATAAACAATAAGAAGGAAAGTATATAAAATCAAAATGATAAACCTACCATCCGTAGAGTGAGTGACCGCCAGCTTCACGTAGTCATCATGTTCCATCATATTCCGAAAAGAAGGAAGAGGGCACTCCGCTGAATTAAAGTGCCTGAAAAAGTGGGCAACGCAGTCGGGATCGTCCGTTATCAGACAATCCTTTCCATGAGAAAATTGCACATGAAAAGGCTTCGCGATTGCACCATCGCCCGCAGAGCCGGATTGAGCATCGTTTCCCAAAGTTTCCGCTTTCTTTGGAGGACGATCACGCACTCTGAGCTGTCCAGACTACCAGAACTCAAATGAGTTACCGTTTTTGGCTCCTCCAGATCTTTGGATTCAGACTGAGTCGCTGCACAGGGAAGCCAAGGCTCCTCGCAAAGAACATCGATGAGCGCTCCCTTTACATCACCGGAACAGATCCGTCCCGTGCCCGCTCCGTTTTTCTAATTACGAACTCTTTCAGATTCACGACAACTCGTTTTCCTCGATGTCATGATTGATGATAGGAAGCAAAGAGCTTTCAAAAATGTAGAGACCGACAATACAAACTCAATATTTATAAAGGTAAAACATATTAAATGTTATCGACCGAAAAGAATAAGATCTCAAAAATCTATAAGGAAAAACATAATATACCTTTAGGCTTTTAACCTCAACTCATGATCTCGCTAGGTCCCCCTCTCCGCGACTCTCAAACATCGCAGCAAATTCATCGACGGCAACCATAATCTGCAAAATTTTAGAGTTAACAAGAGTACCCTAGACGTCGGAAAGCAAGATCGGAACCAGAGAGGATCCTCTGAGACCTCCAATCACCGCAACAGATCTACGGTTCCGAAACGATGACCTCCTAGCCAATTGCCTATCTGATTTGGCAGAGGGAGAAGGATCACTAGAGGGTTCCGAAATACCGTTGAGCTTGGAAGAGGTATCAACAATAGCTAGCGCTTGACCAGCTCTGTCCGGTAGCAAGAAAGCGACAAGAATTCACTCTCGAACAAAAGACGAGCAATCTAAGCGACCTCGTCGCAACATCTTCAACAGACCCCTGAGCTCGTCGGACATCATAGAGCTCCTGGATTGTACTAAGAACGCATAAATCGACCTTAGAAGTCGGTTATCTAAAAGAAAAAGATGTAACTAAAAAAGAGTGTTCAAAATTTAGAACCAACCTATGTCGTCAGCCCAAAGATGAGGAATCTTCGAAAAATCGAAATCGCCCACGACGAGCAAGCGACCTTGAAAAAAAAGAATCCTTCTCGTCAGTCTTGATCGTGGTATGGAATCCGTTGGATGATGTGGCGTCCTGTACGCGATGACATGAGAAAAGTCCCAGGTCTTTGGTTGTTCCTCTTCAACAAACATAGGTGACGCAATGCCTTTAGGCCAAATAGCAAACCTTCTTCGGGAGCTCTAAACATGAGAGCCAGGAGGTGTCTTAAGAAGTCTGGGCACATACCTAATTCAGCTACGATCTCAAGGATAGGTTCCGGAATTGGAAAGAAAAGACCACAAGACTCAAAGAACGAGAGCTACGCTCCGCAAAACTCGTCACAAACGGTCTCGGCACATACCTAATTCAGCTACGATCTCAAGGATAGGTTCCGGAATTGGAAAGAAAAGACCACAAGACTCAAAGAACGAGAGCTACACTCCGCAAAACTTGTCACAAACGGTCTCGGGAGTCTTGAACGCGGAAGCTAGCTCAAGCTTGACGTCTCAATTGACGCCGTGCGATGTGTATAAAACCTTGAGACGATCGGTGGTGGTTTTTAGAAGAGGAAAAGAAAACGATGTAGTCATCCTTTCTTGAGAGAAATCGAAATTGTAAGAGCAAGAATTCAGAAAAGAAAAAAGGATTTAGAAAAAGAGGAGGATCCTTAAGTATTTAAAGGCATCCGCCAACTCCTAAAAATGGCTCTGTCATTAAAATCGAGAAGGGATAAACTATTAGGTTTTATCTCGAACGCGGCGCAAGTAGCCAGTAGCCGTTAGAAACAAAAAAAACGCACGCGCCAACAGTCCATGGACGGCGAGATGACACGTGTCGGATCTCTTCCATTTTCAAAAATAGAAACCAAACCGTCCCTCTTTAATTGAGACCAAATGGGTCATCTTTATCCTTCAACAAAGGAAAATGATTGGAGGAAAAATGTTGGATCCAGTTTTAGTGAAGAATTAAACAGGCCCAGGCCCATTCTTCATCATCAATAATCAATTCGACCCATATCGAGCCCGACGAGGTCGAACCAGTATCCCGAAGATCGCGGTGACAGTTGCAAGGAATCAGCCAAGAAAGAGGCTATCAAAAGGGAGCTAGAACGAGGCATAACACGGGCAGAAAACCCTAGAACTAACCACTACTCTCATCGACCTCACTTTTTAGCCTTTAGTTCGTTTATATTTTTGATCTCTATTTGGTATTTTCGATCTCGATTATCACTTTTTATCAAACCTCATATATAATAAATTTCATTTTTGTCAACCGAATTCCGATTGTTGTGTACTAAGAGCATCGTTGCCCACATCATTTATCTTCCCTAGATTAAAATCTTGATCACTACAAAATACTTAATGTGGATTTTAGGATCTGCACTCATTACAGTACTCATGAATTTTACCCCAGCACTACAAGAAATATGAGTATTAGTAGCAGTTCGCAGTAGCACGAATTCACAAACTGCTACCAAAAATGTTAAAATGAGACCACAACTCTATCGTAGCATTGAATTTGCACTAGGAAAATTTTTTATAAGCGGGAATCTAAAAATCACAACTATAGCTACAAAATTATTTTAGAGGCAAAAACACTTAGTGAAATATAGTTTTGGCACCAAAATATTTATTTTGATAAAAAAATATTTTTTTTTCTCAAGTAATTTCCTTGATACTTGAATCGATCTGTTTATCCTCCAGCTTCTTTTCTTCAGTTTGGGTTTTCTTTTGTTCTTATTAATTCCAATCGAAGAAACAACATATAAATTGGCCTGGTTCAAAGTAGAATTTGGGAACCCTAATCTGTCAAGCCGCTGGATCTCGTTGTTGCAGACTTTTCTTCTTCGTGTATCCTCTTCGAGTCGGCCTCAAGTCTCAGGTTCACAGGCTCTCCATGACTCCATCTCCTTGGGCTGCGAAAACAACCTATGCGTCACAGTCTTACGGAATCCGGAGCCAAGCGATGACTACAAGGAGACTGAGTCCTTCTCTGTATCAGAATGAGTGGTGACTGGTGAGTTAAGTTGAGTTTTTATCAATTGAAAGTTTTCTTCTTTATTACAGTGAATGTGTTGTGTCATGTGGGAGGAAGTGGTGGAATACAACGAGGAGATTACTTCTCTCCTTAGTAATTTAGTGTCTTCCCCTGCTCCTTTGATTGAAGACCCAATACCAGTTATAAAGGTCAAAACTTTACTCAAGCCTTTTTTGCTTATACCAGTTCTAATTCAGTGTCGTATTACTCATTTAATACATGGAGACTTGGAGCTTGTCTGCAAACGTGAATCTGTGTCTGACTAGCTTTTCTCAGTTTTACTTATATTCTTTCTTGTTGTTGTTGTTGTGATTGCAGCCAAGATATGTCCAACATTTGATGAAAAAGGCAGAGCAGAGACAGGAAGAACACGGGGTTGTTTATGAGAGAGCTCTGTCTGCCCAACAAAGAAGCATAGTACTGGTAAAGTTAAGAAACTCAAGTAGATTGTGTAAAGTTGTATCAATAATTGCAGTATTTAAAACGTCTGTGAGTTGTGACTACTCTTCAGGTTAAGTTGCAGTGCAAGATTAAGCTGGACTCTATGCAATTCAGAACAAATTGCAGTGAAAGATCAGAGAGAGAGGGGTGACAAGGTTATTGGATTATGGGTTCACAACAATGGTAGTCACAGATACTGGCGGTCATCTTCTTGGAGAGATTAATTGTGGAATTTTACTGCAAAGTTGTAGGTAAATCTTTCAGCCATCTCCTTTTCTTAGTCGAAGTTGCAGGGCTTTTACTCATTCTTGTGTGGCGTGAACATTGTAAGTTTTGTTTCTCTTATTTCTTATGTACGACTGGATGGGTGGATCTGTTGAACTATGTTCTTAGTGCTCTTCCCGTGGGTTAGCGGTGATGAGTGGCTTCAAGCGTTGCCTCGTGCATTAGTCTCTGGATTCGTGAAGACTGAGAAGATGTTTCAGAGAAGAGGTATGGCCTCTAGTTGTAAGAATTAGTCACTCTTTTGAATGGTGTGTGGTCTATTACTTTCTTGGTAACAGGAAATAGAAAGGTAAAGAAAGATCTTCACTTTAGTTTTGTTTAAGAATGTAAAATGTTTTGTAAACTGACTATAACACACATTGGCATTTGCTTGACAGAAAACAATGGAAGCGGCAGTGGTAATAGCAGAAGAGGCAGGTTGAAGATGTAGTCCCTAGACTTGGCAAATTTATAAATTGTTTTGGTTTATGTGTATTTTGAATGATATAATGAAATAATGTATGTTTTATAAATTTAATGAATTATATTTTTTTATAGATCAAATTGCAATGTGTATATGATAATTATAATTTTATATCAACTTTAAGATTTGAAATTAAATAAAGAAAACTAGAGTTTTAAGATTTTTTGTTAGCCTTGGGTATATGATTAATTTGGGGGTTTAAACCCTATTCCCTAAACATAAACTTAAAATCTTCAATCTTTTCATAATAAAACCTTAATTTTATTTTAATATCATCTTAAATTTAAATTCTAAACCTCAAACACTAAATCTTAAATCTACACCCTATATCTAATACCCTAAATCCCAAACTTAAACCCTATACAAAATCATAAATCGAATCTTTACAAAAAAATTTGATTTATAATTTTTTTTTTGTTTATTTGTATATTTGTATTATTTTTTTTTTAAAAACAAAACCTTGAACTCTAGAACTTAACTCCAAACACTTCAAACCCCAAACCCCAAAACTTAATCCCAAATTTTCAATATATAAGTAAGCTATATATAAAAATTTTAACATAAATTATATATTAAAAAAAATCTAACTATATAGGGTTTATAACTTCCAAATACATAACTATAAACATAATACCTTAAACAACATGCTCTTGAGACCAAACCCTATATCATAAACACTAACCTTTAATTTTAAACTTGTAATATTAAAGTTTTAGTTATAAATCATAAAATCAAAAAAAAATTCCATTCCATTTCATATAATATCAAATCTTTAAATTTGGGCAAATTCCAAACCCATAGTTTTATACCCTAAACTCTATTTCATAAAACATATTCCATTTCATATACCCCAAACATCAATAACAAAAATTTAAATTGAAAATTGAAAATTAAGATTTCAAATTATGAAATCTAAATCTTTGAATTTTGTCACAGAATAATTTTTGTACACTAATATTTACAGTAATACTTTGTGTATTACACAAAAATAGAGTAAGCAAATAATTATAAAAATCTGATTGGTCAAAAAACGAATTGACCAATAGGATACAAGGACGAGGATCACACTTTCTTTTGACCAGAGCCGTTGATTAAGTAAATCCAATGGACCAAAATGAACCAGATGAAAAGATGTATTTCTCCACCTCTCTCCTCTTTACCTCTCGTATTCTTCTCTTCCACTTTCTTTATCTCTCATCTTCTTCCCCATGCCTTCAACAAAATTGTCTCAATCAACATAAACGAATCAGTGTCAACCCCATCACATTAAACAAAATCTGTCTCAACCACCATCACAATCATCATAAACGATTCTATCTGAATCCCCATAAGCTCAAACAAAATCTGTCTCCAGCCGGGATTTCAAGATACGGTGAATTTCCAAGAGAAGAAAAAGTATGGGATGTAGAAATTCATCGCAGATTCACCCTTGTTTAGCAAGTTTTTCTCATTTTCGGGTTCCTTTTTGATTTAAGGTAAAGTCTCTCTACCTCTATCTCTCTGCATACTTTCTATCTCTCATCTGTAATAGTCATCTCTCATACCTTTCTATCTAATTGTTTTTAATCTGTAAAGATCATTTCTCATCACTCTCCATCTATTTGTTTTTAATCTGATTTTTTTTTTTTTGTGTTTAGTAAAGGTGGTGGTCTTGAGCAAGAGGAGAAGGCATAGGAGCTTGATGGAGGAGGAGGTACGGCTACGTCGGAGCTTGATAGAGATGGCGGCGAGGACGACTATGAACGGAGAAGGGAGTGGCGGCTTAGATTTAGGTTTTAGATTTAATTTGGTTCATTAAGCTTCAGATTTAATTAGATTTTTGGTTTAATGTGTAATTATAGTTTATTGTAAACCTTAGGTTAATTATAGTTTGGTTTAATGTTTGTAATTAGTTTTTGGTTTAACGTGTTCTTTATTGTATACTGATTTTAATTAATAAATAAAATTTTATTTTATTTATGAATTAACTTGAAATTCTAGTTTAATTATTTTACTTTAATTATCTATTGTTAATTAATTAAAATTTAATAAATTAATTTAATATTTTTAACTATTTTATTTTTAATTACAGCGTTATAACTATATCATTAAAAATTATGTTATGGCACATGAAAAACGCCATAGGAAATCATATAGTAACAAAATTATGATGTTATTAAAATGATTTAATATAGCGAATCATAAATGCTATAATATCTCTAATTTTTTGTAGCACGCGAAATTCGCTATAATATAAGGGGGGTCTACCATAGCTGCGGCTGTCACGGCGTTCTTCGAAACGCTACGAAAACCCTATAGTAGCGTGTTTCGGGTGCTATCAATACCAATATTTCTTGTAGTGCAGAATGCTTCACTTTTTTGGTTTCTTCCAACAACACTGTATGTTCCATATTTAATCCATCCACTGAGTAGCACCAAATTTTGACCAGTGGTCCATTTTGGGCTTTTCCGGCGAGCATGAGTTGAATCCTCCACATTTTTACTTTGAGTGGCTTCATTGACACCGCTTATGCCACCAAGACCAATTTGTGTAGAAAATTCGGGAAATTTTGTTGCTTCAATATTTGGAACAATTTCATTACCCATTAAAGTAGAAGAAAAATGAGGTCTTTGAGATAAATTTGGCATCATCAATCCATAATATGGAGGATAATTTGGAACAAATGATGGCATAATGAAATTTGGTGCCAAACCTTAGTTTGAAATATTTTGGGGTGTATTTGAAGATTGATTTTGAAAATGATATTTTTTGGGATTTGTATAGTTAAAAAGAAAATTAGACGAATTTTGAGTGTTAAATGGATTACTGTTATGATCCATTAACAAAAAAAGGTTTAAACACACAGATTTTTTTGATTAAAAGCTAAATTATAGTGAAAATTGAAGTTTTTTATGTATCAAAATGAAATGAGACTAGTCTCTATTTATAGATGATAAAAAAAAATCATGAACTTTGATATAAATTTTATTTTAAAAAAAGTTCTACTATAAAATAATTGAGTTTCAATTATTTGAATGGATAAGAATCTCAAAAAAGTTTGCCAACCAATGAGAATATAGCAACATAATTTTAAACTGAATGAGTTTTTGTTTTCAAAAAGCAAGGGCGTGAGATTCACTTGCTCACTCTCTCTTCACTCAGTCGCTGACATGTGTCGTTTGGGGTCCATTTTTTCTCCATTCAACTAGTTGAATAAATTCAACGGAGAGCAATCCACGTCTGAATTTTTCTTCATTCAACAGACTTATTGTATGCCATTAACTGTTAAATTAATAATTCAGTTACCTCATTGCAAGTAGTCTAAGATCACAATAAATTTTCACTGCAAATTTTAAAATTAACATATTTATATATTTGATATAGTATATAATTTAATTTAAATGAGATTGATATATATATATATATATATATAATATGAAAATCTATTAATGAGCCTTATATTCATACGTTTTATAATCATTTGTATCTTGCTTGAACCAAAAAAAGTTAAACCATTGATCAAAAATTTTCAATGTGGGACTTTTACCATTTTGAGTAATTTATAGATGTTTTAAAAAATCTCTAAATATACCATATAAGAAAAAATCTTAATTATATTATTATTACATGCTTAATGTGATTGTTTAGTTATTTTAAAAATATAAAATTAAACAAAAATAAAAAGAGAAAGGATACAAAAATTGTTATCAAATATGTATTATTAATAATTATTAATTTCATATATATGTTAATCATATTAGGTAATTCCGTAGCTTTTATTAAAAAAATAAAGAATATTCTTTTGTACACTAATAATTAATTTGATAGTAGTTTAATAAAAATTATACTATATAATTATATGAACCAACTTATTTTTCTAAGAATTATGAGATTTGTCTAGGTGACGACATGTGGCTACGAAAACATGTTGTAATACTTTAGATTAATATATATGAGATTTATATTTTATATAGTATATAATTTTATTTAAATTATATTAATACATATATAATATGAATATATATAAATGAGACTTCGTATTCATACAAATTATAATCATTTGTATCTTTATTGAACAAAACAAATTAAACCATTGATCAAAAAATTTTAATGTGGGACTTTACTATTTATTATAATTTATAGCCATTTTTTAAAAAACAAATCTAAATATAACATATAAGAAAAAAAACTAAATTTTTATTATATGCTTAATGTGATTGTTTAATTAATTTTAATATTATAAAAATAAACAAAAAGGAAGGATACAAAAATGGTTATCTAATACGTATTATTTATAATCATTAATTGTCATATATATATATTAATCATATTAGGTAATTTCATAACTTTTATTCAAGGAAAAAAGAATATTCGACTGTACACTAATAAAATAATTTGATAGTAGTTTAATAAAAAGTATAATATATAATTATATGGACCAACTTATTTTTCTAAAGATTTTGATAATTGTTCTGGTTATGAGATGTGGCTACGAAAACATGTTGTAATGCTCCAGAATTAATATATAAGGGTTGGGATATATATTTTATATAGTACATAACTTAATTCAAATGATATTAATACATATATAATATGAATATCTATTAATGACACTTCATATTCATACGATTTATAATCATTTGTATCTCACATGAACAAGAAAAATTAAACCATCTATCAAAAAAATTCAATGTGAGACTTTTACCATTTTGAATAATTTATAGTCATTTAAATAAAACAAATTATTTTTGTAAAGATTCTGAAAATTGTCATGGTGATGATATGTAGCTACGATAACATGTTGTAATATTCCAAGATTAATATATAAGGAATTGATCATTTGGAAATATAGATATTTAGTTGGTTAAGAGGGTAGTTTTAGTAGTAAGGTTTTACTATAGGTTATGTGATTGATCCATCGGATATTTGGCTTGATTAAGTATGAGAATGACCTTTCACAAGAAAGAAAGAAATTACGTCCTTTACAAGTCAAGTTTCCATGACAGTTGCTTTATTTTCTCAGTTCTGATCTTACGTCGGGATTGTCATATATAGAGTTTAACTTTATTTACTCTGAGGGCTTTGTTCGTTTGCGGCTTCTGATCTCACGTAAAGGGCTATGCGGTCCTCTTCTCGACCCATATCGGCTCATATGGCTGATATAAAAGGTAAAGGGGTATTGTATGAGGATGAAGACGAGCCAATAAAGCTCACTGAACAAGATGATTCCTTTATTATCAAAGAATATCGGATGTCTTTGATTGTGAAAATTCTCAATCCTAAGAAGCAATTGGTTGAGAAGCTAGTGCAGACAATGCCAGGTCAATGGGGTATGGAAGATCGCATCACCGTGAATGACCTAGGAAATGGGAAGTTTCTTCTAAACTTCTCATCGGAGGAAGATATCAACTCCGTACTTTGCAAAGGGCCATTCCACTACAATTTCTGTATGTTTGTATTGGTCAGGTGGGAACCAATAGTACACGACGACTATCCATGGATCATACCATTCTGGGTCAAGTTTGTTGGGATGCCATTGCATCTATGGACAGACAAGAACTTAAGAGAAATTGTTGGTCGTCTTGGCCGTGTGGATACCATCGACCTTTCGGAGGGACGACTTTTGATTGATATTGATTCTAGAAAGCCTTTGAATTTCAAACGGAAGGTTCAAAGTCCAGAGGGGGACGAAGTTACCATAGAGATCAAATATGATCTTCTTTTTAAGCATTGTACTATCTGCAGCTTAATGACTTATGAGAAGGGGTATTGCCCGACCTTGGTACTTCCGCGCGAGAGAGGAGATGTCTTTGATAGAGTTCAGCTTCCGCGCAATCATACTGCTCATGGATCCTTGTCTTATGATCATCGCAACTCCAACCTCGACGGTGATAAGGGAGGTAATATACACAAGCCTTTGCTTGGTTCTGCTAGACTGGATACGACAAAGCACACCAGTAGTGACGTACTGCGATCTCGACATTCTGATCCGATGGATAAGGAGCATAAGGGAAGACGCAAGGATGCAGATTCTCATCATTCTCGGTATACGCGGGATAATAGGTATGACCATTCACGCTCTGATCGTAATGTCCGAGTTTGGGATTTCAAGGAGAGGAGTCATCGTCACAATAAGGCTTGTTATGAGCCGTATACTCGCAACCGGAATGTGGAATGGAAAGCTAAGAGACAGAATGAAATCTGCGAGGATAATGTAGTGCCAGGAAGTGTGGAGGGAGTTACTGGGGAGAGTTGTGAAATTGTTTCTTATGAACAAAAGCAAGGAAGCAGTAAGCGCGATTGCGATGAGCCACATCATCAAGACCTGGAAAACATGAACGAGGGAGATATGCATATGGGTAATAGATTGGCCAGTGTCATTGTTTCTCCGGAGATGCAATCATATGTCAATGGGGATAATGTTACTCTTTGTAACAAGAGTGTGGTGAAGTCCTTAACTTTCTTACCACAAGGCTCAGCCGATGCGAGTGGGGATGAGCATGTCATCGAAGCACTTAGCGGCATGGAGGTTGAGACGGGTATTGATGCTGAGGATGACCTCTTCGATGAGGAACTGGAGGAGATGGAAGCTAAAGCGAAGTCTATTGTGACCGCAGGTGCAACATTGGCTAGAGGACATGCTAAGGCGTCAAGGATTTCACGTTCAGATGCTAGAGGAAATCCCCCATTGGGGATCCAGAAAAACAAGACAGAGTTCCACCGTCGTGGGTCTCCACGTTTACGATCAATTATATCATCGTCGCACAAGTCAGATGGAGAGAAGAATAAGCTGCGAAAGTCACACCATGATAACCAGA